CACAGCGTGTGTGCCTGTGCGAGTATGTGTGAAAGCAGCTGGGAGCACATGCGTAGTGATGAAGTGCTGTTGTGCATGCATGTGTGTGTGTGCAACTAAGAGCAGTGGGTGCAGTGCAGTGCCATGAAGCATGACTGTGTGTGTGTGCACACACGCTGGTGTGAGAGTGCAAAGGTGCCCGTGCATGCACATGTATATGTGCACATGTGGGTGCATGGGTCCGTGTGCCTACGTGTGTGCATGTTTGTGTGAGCACATGGGGATGCATACATGCACTTGTGTGAGCGCATGGGTACACGTGCATGCACATGTGTATGCATGTGTGTGCACATGCGTGTGTGTAGGCACATGTAGGGGTGGTTGCACAGATGTGTGTGCACATGTATGTGCAGAGGGGCACATGTATGGATGCGTATACTTGTACATGTGTATGTGCATGCATACACATGTATGGGTGCATGGGTACACATACGTGTGTGCACATGGGTGCATGGAGGCACATGCACATGTGTATGTGCAGGTGTGCGCGTGGATGTGCATGAATGCACATGTGTGTGTGCATGCGTGCACTAGGGGCACGTGCAAACACGTGTGTGGATGCATGGGTGCATATACGCATGCATGCACGTGTGTGGGTGGATGCACAGATGTGTATGTGCAAATGCATGTGGGGCCGAGTGAATGCATGTGCTTGGATGCATGCATGTGTTCATGTACACACGCGTGTAGGTGTCTGGTGACCGGCCAAGCACACTGTGACATGGCACCTGCGGGAGGGGAAGCATGAGGTGTGGGTGGCCCTGCTGGGCTGGGTCCACAGCGTGCGCGCACCCCACTCTTCCTGCCCCTTTCACAGCGGGGGCAGGAACGGGCTTCCCCCCGCCAGCACCTCCAGCCTGGGTGTGTCCGTCCGTCCGTCCATCCACCGGGGGAGCTCCCAATCGCGCGGCGACGAGCAGAAACCAAGGCGGGGGGGAAGTTCAGGGCCTTGCACGGGCCTTCATTTTCTCCTGGGAGAGCAGCAGCGACTCTCCCAGGAGAAGTCCAGAGCATACAGACATTGGAGCGGCTTCTCCTGGGGCAAACATGGCCGCTGCAGGAGGGAAGGCCCCTGCGCTCCATCGCTCCTGGGAGACCAAATGTCTGTGTACGCAGCATTTGGAGCAGCACAGGTCCCCCCCCCCCCCCCCCCCACCCCGGGCCCCCGAGACGGAGGCAGGGGAATTGGGGGTGCGTGAGGGTTCGGCTGCCAGCAGAGTCCATGCTCACGGCCTGGGGGATGTACTCAAGAGTCAGGGGAGGGAAGGGGAGGGGAACCGGGGGGCCAACTGCAGGCAGAGTCCAAGTTCATGGCTTAGGGGCTTATTTGAGTTAGGGGAAAAATGGGGAAGTAA